GAGGCATAGGAATCATTTGAGTCAGGCCGAATTGCCTAGCAAGCTGACTAGGGTTGTAAAACTCTACCCCGAGCTTTGAATTTACTGTCCCCAAAGGATCAGTGTTGAAATGAAGATCTTTTGAAAAAAGGAAACTGGCCCACATGGCCGAAAACTCATCATTAATCTTCTTTGTGGATACCCCTTGAGGAGGAATCAGCTATCGAGGGGCTTGAGAACAGTGAGAGAATAAAAAGTACTAGCTGATGGTTCTATGCTCACAGCCAGAGTAGAAGAAATTAAAACAATCTCCAAATGAGTGGGATTTGGGCACGACCGATGCATAACTCACAGAAAGGAGTGGGTCATTGGCCGATGGCCTCACCACAGGCCCTAATTCAGGAAAGTAAACTTGTAACCAAATTTAAAATAACCAGAGGGGGCCACCATAACTCACATCCAAAGTTAGAGGTGAGCAAGTCATAAATTCCCCTATATAAATAGGATAACACTAAAGGAGCTAGAGCAAGGGGTTTACCTCTGGAAAAAACAACGGCCACATAAATGTAATCCTTGGTAACTTAAAATGCTGGTACACATAGAAGGAATTTGTTCAGCCAGGCCAACAAGAAGTCAATATGCTCGGCATCATTTATAGGAACGCGAGGATCCATGGTAGAGGTTAAATAATTGCCATATGAGGATTTAGAGGATTTGGTTCCAATTTGCTTAGAGGGAAAAATAAAGGAGGAGTCTTCTTCTACCGGTAAAGTGCTCACATCAATCCCAAAGGGTTTAAAGCCGGTTAAATAGCATACATCTTGAATGGTTGGAGCCATCATGCCACACCTTAAATGTAAAGAGTTGGTGGTGGTCGACCAGTTGAACATAACTGCTATCATCAGAGCCCTGTCCTGAGCAATATTTGTTTTGCTCAATTGAATGGCATCATAAATACCACAAGTTTTCCACGTCTCTCCTTTCACAGCTCCAACTCGGTCGACCCAATTGATCCAAGCATCATTGGGAATATGCCATGTCCTAAAATGAAAATGTGGCAAACTGCCATTTTCATTAGGAGGGAAAGTTTGAAGAAATGGAAGTGCCTCGGCCGAGGGGTAGTAATGCAAGATGGATGAAGGAGCTTTATCAAGGAAGGCAGGACCTAAACCCTTGAAGTCAGTGCGAAGATCTATGAGAATATTAAAGCAATACTTGTAAAAAGAAAAAGTTTTCAGGGATTTCTCGATGGCACTGCTGTGAGTTGAAGAATCTGAAGGTTGTGGGGCCGAAGTAAAGTCAGTTGACTTGGTTTTCTTAGGAGCCATCAAAGATCGTCAAGGGGAGGAATCTGGGTTGTTAAGAGATGAGAAAGGGAATTTCAAAATTTGTGATTTAAGGCAAGAAGAATGATTTTAGGGTTTTAGAGAACACAGAGCTAAATACTAGTGTTGAGATAGATATGCCTAATCACCGCTTTAATCGGGAATCGTTAACTATTAAGGCAGATAGTTAGGAAATTAAAAGAGTTATTACCAAATTTTGAAATTCAAGTTTATGTTCGATTCAAATTCCAAACGCCTATCATAAGCGATAAGGCATTTGAAATTCAGGGGGCATTTGTTAGCACCAAAACTTGGCAGCCAAGTTTCAAGGAGAGTCGGCCAATAGAGAGACAAAGGGAGCAAATCTAGGGAATATATCTCAGCCACCTTATCAATAAGGTTGTTGCTGAATATATTTACAGAAATTCGAATCGATTTAAATATGGTCATCAATTAAAAAGGAAGGACTTAGGGATTTAGTTACAATAAGTTACTAAATCCCTATGAAGTATGAGTGTAGTTGAAGAAGGAAATTGAATCCCTATGAGATAGGAATTTCAAAAGAAGGGGGCAGCCACTTAAGTATATGGGTAAAAGCTATAAATGGCCAATGAGCCATTTTAAGGGAAATTCGGCTGAAAGGAAGTTGCTATAAATTAGCAACTATTCAGCAATATTTTAGCAACTCACATTTGACTAGATCAGAAAGAGTTTTTGGCAAGGATTTCTCTACTAAAGCAAGAAGCAAAACGAGACGAAGAGCAAAAGAACACTGGTTTTGACTTAGTTTGAATAACAAAATAAAGAAAATCAAGGAATTAGAGATATTTTAGCAAGAAATAAATTTAGAATAGTTGATTTAAAACTTCTATAGATAGAAGTATTGTAAGCTTATTCTAATTTGTCCAGCACCACCCACAAAACATGAACCAAAATTCATTTATCAAATAACTCAACGTCATCTTTATCTTCAATTATTTTGTCCAAATGGCAATTTCCATTCGAAGAATATGAGTTCCAATACCTTATAATTCTTTTTGCAATGCTTAATTATTCTATTTGCAATTTATTCTTTGTTTTATGCAAACAAATTTAAATGACAAATCTTTGATCAAATTCATGTCAATTTAATTCGGCCTGCTTTCTCATTCCAAAATGTCATTATTTTCCATGTAATTTTCGTTCAGCCATTTCCTTTATTGTTCATTTCAATTCGGCCGATTTACTTTTCAATCCATTTCAATTTAGTCAGTTCATTTTCATTTACTTTTTATCGCATTTTACTTCTTTTAAGCACTTTAGATAAAAAGTCCTTACTACAAATAAGGCATAAAAAGAACCTTACTGGGAGTTCTTACTAGTCTCCCACACAATCGCCTGAGAGTCAGCCATCGGAAAAAGGGATAGGCTGGTGTTCGAATTTACAATTTTGAGTATTTTGTACAAATACTCTGGCACGCCTGCAAAGAGTCCATTGACCAGCGTAAAACCGCGCAAACATTTATATAAACCAAGAACTACAAATTATGTGTGTGTGTGTATATATATATATAAACTGTGTGTGTATATGTACAACGAACGAGATATAGAGACAGAGAAAGACCTGGGGCTTCAATTTAATGATGAATACAAAAATTAAACGGAATGGGAGTGAGACCAGATGCTTCGATCTGATGTCAAATTAAAAAATTGAACCGAATGAGAGTGAGACCAAAGGCTTCGATCTGATGTCGAATACAGCAATAGAAATACTAGGGCATCATCATCTCTTGAGAGAAATAGGACAAAAGGAGAAAGATGTGCATCATCTTCGTCTTGAGAGAAAGAGGGCAAACAAGAAAACTAGGGCTGCTGGAGAAAGAGCAAAGGGAGCGATTTTTCTGGAAGCAAAGCGAAAAAAAAATAAAATAAAATAAAATAAAAAAGAAATAAAACCGACCATATTGCCGGGTCAAATCCATTTTAATTGGGTATTACCCAACTTAAGTTGAATAGGGTTAAAGGACACTTGTCATGCCCTTATTAAGCCACATACCCAGGTTGGACAAACTTCATCCAACGTGGGTTGGATGCAAGTTTTCTCCTTAAGTAAAATATTTACATGTACATGGTTGGTCTGACAACTTTTGTAGTTCCTGCATGTTTCAAAACCGTTTAAGATCCTTTTTCTTTTTCTTTTTCTTTTTTTTTTTTTCTTTTTTTTTTTTTTGGTTGAAATATACAGGCAAACTATGAGAAGGAAATAATAAAATAAAAGAAAGCCTGGAGTTTTATTTGAAAAGTCCAAAGAAGATAAATATATTTTTTCATATATAGCATTTAAATTTTTTTAAAAAAAAATTAATTTGATATCATACTAATTTAAACTTAAAAGGATACTTTAATCATTTTAAGAGATTAAAAAGGCTCACTCCTAAAAGGGACTATTTTTATGGGACAGAGAATATCATTTTTAGCAGTCAAATGAAGAAATAGATTAATGGATCTAAAGTTCACAATAAACAAGCAAACAATATCATAATACACCTTATGCTCCTGTCATCAATTGTTAATTAATTATATGGTGTGTTTAAATAGACAAATTAAAAGTAAAGGTGCAATTTGGATTAGTGAATTTCCAAAAAAAATAAAACAAACAAACAAACTTGAATTTGATACAATTTGTCATGGATTTGGACAGGCGGTTTATAATTAGAATTAGATATGAATAAAAATCTCAACATGAACTTAATTTGAGATGGATTTGAAGTGTCGATAATTTGAACCTGAATTTTAACCCAATTATTTTATATATTATCAAAATTAGATATTATTTATAAGCATGTATATATATTTTATAATGATCAATCTCTTTTTAAGTTTCTTTTCTTTAAATATTGAATGATTATTATAATAACTAGTTCATTGAATTGAAGTCCAGATTATGTTGGATCTAATTTCAAAGTTTTCCTTATATGATTCCTAGGCTTCCCTACAATATAATTACTAACAAGAAATATAATATAGAAAAAAGAGTAACAAGAAATAGAATATAGAAAAAAGAGTAACAAAAAACAAAATAATATTTTTCTCATAAAGGATTTTCTTTTTCCAGGTAAATATCTTTTTTAATTTTTATATTTCCTTTGGCAAATGTCTAGATCAAGGTTGAAGTCAAGTTCATCAGGCGCGGCACTGCATATAGAATAACTTATTGATAATTGATGGGTAAGTTAATTTTTTTTTTAATAAATATTCTACAACAATCAAACAGCAAAAAATTAAAAATAAAAAATATATATTTTTTAAAAATTTTTTTACATCCAAACAAAAAGAGCATAATGGTGAGTGAAACTAAATTCATGTGATCTAACTAGTTCATTGAGTTGACTTCCAGATTATGGTGGATCTAATTTCAAATTTCATTATATGATTCCTAGGCTTCCCTACAATATGAGTACTGCCAAGAAAAAGAACATTGAAAAGACAGTAACAAAAACAAAAAACAAACAAACAAAAAAACAATTAAGAGTTTTAATGGTGGGTGAAAATAAGATCCAGGTTTTTGACTTTTTCTAATTTCCTTCATTAACACTGCATATTCAACATTATTAGTACTCTCTTATCTCTATATATACAAGTTCAGTTTCTTGTTTAATGCATCTTTTAGTTCACAATTACACTGATCACCTCCTAGTTTTTGCTTAGATAACAAGAATGTGGTCAGTTGGATTACTGTGTGTTGGGGCAGTGCTTGCCATTGGCATCACTCACTGGATATACAAATGGAGGAATCCCAAATGCAATGGAGTTCTTCCTCCTGGTTCAATGGGCATCCCTCTTATTGGGGAGGCTATTCAGTTAATCATTCCTAGTCATTCTCTGGAATTGCCACCTTTCCTAAAACATAGACTGAAAAGGTACGGGATCAAACTATTATTAACATGGGCATTACTCATTGGCCTAGTAGCTAAAGCACCCAGCTCTGCGAACTGGTGTGCCTATGTTTGAATTCCCCTCCCCTAGTCGTACATGTCACATCAATTTTATTTTATTTTTTTAATTTCAAAACCTTGGCTTTGTGATTTTCACAGAGTTAGGCAGTAATACTTGTTAAGTGTAATACATAGGTTCCTCATCTTAATGTCCTTTTCTTCCTATCAGTTAATTGTTTTTATTTTATTTTATTTTATTTTTTATGTTCCTTTGTCTCTATTCGGTTCATTGTTTTACAACTTATTATTGTACATTAGCTGAAGGCAGTATCTTATAGAAGACATGACTCAATATAGATCAAATGAATCCTTACTATCATAGTACATATCACTTTTCTTTTGGTTAGATGATTCTGTATCACTTGATCTGAGAATTTACCGCCTGCTTAATTCTTTCTTTGATGCAGATATGGATCAATCTTCCGAACAAATGTGGCAGGACGGCCTGTCATTGTAACAGCTGACCCTGAATTCAACTATTTTCTACTTCAGCAGCATGGGAAGTTGGTTGAATCGTGGTCTTTGGACACATTCGCAAAAGTCTTTGCACAAGACTCTAGGATTGATCGCGCTCATGTTCAAAAATATGTGAGAAGCTTGGTCTTGAATCACTTTGGTGCAGGGTCCATCAGAGAGAAGCTCCTCCCTCAGTTTCATGAGGTGGTTCGCGAAACTCTTTGTGCCTGGTCAAGGCAGGACTCCCTTGAGATGAAAAGTGCAGCCGCGAAAGTAAATTTCAGACTCATCCGTTCACTATATAAACTAATTTTGCATCTACATATGAATTTATTTTACGATTGTAACAATTCTATTTGGCCATGACAGATGACTCTAGACTTCGGTGCAAAGCAGCTATTTAGCTATGATCCTGAAGAGTGGCCTGAGAAGCTAAGTGACTTGTTCAAAAATTTCGAACAAGGTCTGATGTCCCTTCCCTTGAACATCCCCGGTACTGCACACCATAGATGTTTGATGGTAAGTAGGATAATCTTTTCCTAATATATAATCAGGTTTATATGATCAAAATAGTTACTGATTGTATCCAAAAAAAACTTTTGTTTAGAATCACAAAAAGGTCTCAAACATGATGAGGGATGAGTTGAGGAGGAGGCTCGCGTCAACTGACAAGAGGCATCAAGAGGACTTGCTTGATCATTTCATTCGTGACATGAACACCGAGCAGTTCTTGGCAGAGGATTTCATTGTTCAGCATATGTTTGGCTTTTTATTCATCATCTTTGATTCTGTTTCAACATCAATTGCACTAGCAATAAAGTTACTTGCAGAACACCCTTTGGTGTTGGAGGAATTAACTGTGAGTTCAACTATACTTCAACAGCTTTTGAGATATATATATATATACAATTTCCATATGTGTTTACAGTACTGATAGTGTTTGTTCATCAGGCTGAGCATGAGGCAATCCTTAAAAACAGAGAGAATCCGGATTCCCCAATCACATGGGAGGAATATAAATCAATGACATTCACACTACAGGTCAATTACAATATTTCTTAGTGTTCTAATTTTCTAATGTAACCTACATTGATGTACTCAACAACCTGATGGTCTATTGTAAATTACAGGTTATCAATGAAACTCTTAGGTTGGCAAATATTGCACCAGGGATGTTTCGAAAAGCAATAAAGGAAATCAATGTAAAAGGTAAAATCGCGTAAAAATTGGTTTAGCTTTTCCAGTTTTTCTGCAGAGTTTAATTGAAATTGATCACTAATTGGGATATTTATTTGCAGGATACACAATTCCTGAAGGATGGGTAATTATGCTTGCCACTTCTGCTCAACACTTGAACTCTGACAAATTTGAGAATCCACTCGAATTCAAACCAAGCCGTTGGAAGGTGGGAGATTGATCTCGAGCTTCAAAACTTGAATCAGACTTCATTTATCTTTTTATTTTCGATCTTCATTTTCATAAAATTTACTAATTCCTGGTGTCATTTATATATATATATATATATATATATATATATATATATATATATATATATATATATTATATGAAAAAGCAGAACCTTGAGTCATCTGTTATAGCAAAGAACTTCATGCCATTTGGATCAGGCCTGAAGCAATGTGCAGGTTCAGAATATAGTAGGGTGATTATTGCCACCCTTCTCCATGTGTTGGTCACAAAATACAGGTATTTTTCTTCCTATTACTTTCTATACATAATATATAGTTGAATGCTCGAGTCTCAGAGCTGTCACTTTGTGTGAAATAATGCTAAAAGGTTGAGTCTGGCTCGAGATTTTCTATCCAAGTATGATGTATTAACCAATTTATGTTTTCTATGTTCCTGCAGTTGGACAAAAATCAATGGATGCGAGATCATGCGATCTCCTATTATAAGATTTCCAAATGGATTTCACTTCAAAGTCTCCGAGAAGATTAATTGAAGAGTTTGCTGAAAATTCAGTTCTTGGAATCCTTTGCGTACTTAGAAAAGAATAACTGAAGAGTGCTTTTTTTCAGTTCTTAGAATTCTTAGAATAAACTTCCTTGTCAAGGAAAGTAATAGCTGGATTTCCAGGCATTTTAATAGTCTTCCTTTTTAAAATTTTATGCAGCTTGTAATCTATGCTTAGATGGTGTATTTTTTATGAATAAAATTGTCAGTAAGTGTAACCAACCTCTGGTGGACATATCAGACAAATATATTGTCCAAAATGAAAATATATATATATATATAGATATATATATATATATTTGTTGTCTTGCCCAGCTTCTGTACTACATTCTCTCTCTATATATAGATGCAAAAACCATGTTACTCAAGCACAATAGTATTATAAATTTTTTATATATATATATATATATATATATATATATATATATATATTATTTTTTATTTTTTGTGTAAGTGAAATTATATAAGAAAATGTACAGGAGAAGAGGGGCATAGCTCAGAAGAGATGAACAAAGGCAAACATGCTTAATGTTGACAAAGACCATTGATCGATTATATTCTTTTTAAGTATTAATGTAGTGAGGGGTTCGAGTTTGGATGGGAATAAAAAGTGTATGTGAGTGGAGATGTGGGTGTATTTCTTGCAAATATATATATATATATATATATATATATATATATATATAATAATGATAATAATAATAAAATTATGAAGATCTGAAAACCTTCAATTCTATTAATTATGTGAAAGAAAAAAAGAAGAAGAAAGAAAACATGTTATAGCTCAATGCTCACACAACAGTGGATGAATGGTTACCCAGAGAACAAAGATCTATTAAATCATTTTCTGAACAAATAGATGTGATACACATATTATTTTCCTTTTACAAAAAATAACTTTAAAGGGTGATCAAATAAATAAATGATAGCTCTACAATCTGTATGGATTTTTTTATTTGTAAATGCAATTAAGAGATAAAGTCCAAGTCCACAGTCTTCCCAACATAGCTTATAAATAGACAAAACAGTCAAAAGAGTTTAGGTTTAATAGAACGTTTGAAACTAATACTCATTTATTTCAAATAATTTATCCATCTTTTTATTTTTTTATAATATTTTCAAACTGTTTTTTATATTGATATGATTAAATAAGAGAAGGAATGTGTGCGTACCAATTAGAAAGAAAAAAAAAATGCACTAATTAAGAAATAGATAAATTTAAAAATTCAGTCTTATTAATACATGCAATAAAAAAATATTAAAAATTCACTATCATAAAAAATTAAATGAGAAAAACACCCGAATTTTTTAAAAACAAACCATTGCCGAGAGTATTGGGCACAAACGCGAAACTATTCATTGATAAATATTTCTCATTGTTCTAGTTACGGAAAAAATAAAAATAAAAATTTACTCCAATTTTTTTTTTAATAATTTTTTATTTTATTAGCAAAAAGACACACTACTCATTTTGTTTTTTCGGAGACTTTCAATATTCACTTTAGAGGATAGAGAAGATATCACAAGACCACAAGGCCTTTGATAATTCATTTAATAATATTTAAATATACTATATTGTCCAACTCTAATAAAATAATATTTGATCATATAGTAACCAATAATTCTACTATGTCGCCATCATTAATTAGTATAATCTTCACTTATTTTATCTTAAATAAAATCATATAATAAAAATAATGTAAATAATAAATTATCTTCAAATTGTTAAAAAAATTATTTTGCTTCGTGTGTGTATATATATAGAATAAGTCTTATTTAATCTTTATATATATATATATATATATATATAAAGATTAAATAAGACTTATTCTACTAATATTGACTAATTAATTATATATGTAATGACTTAATTATGCTGAGTTGCATGTGAGTCATTATATTAACCAATCAATAAGCATTATTTTTTTTAAGATTAAACAAGACTTATACTAAAATGTTTATCGACTAATTAATATAATGACTTAATCATGCTGAGTTTTATGTGAGCCATTAACTATATGAATCCGCCAATAAGCATTATTTTTTTAATATTAAACAAGACTTATACTAAAAGTCTTACAGACTAATTAATGTAATGACTCACATAATTAAGTCATTATTAACTCATTGTAAATAAGCATAATTAAGTCATTATATTAATTAGTTGATTAGAATCTTAATATAAGCTAGTTTTGTTTAATATTAAAAAGATCATATATAAAGCATATATTTTCCAACATAACATTTGGCGATCCAATTTAATCCTGACCTGTCACTTAAAAAAAAAAACATGGAGCACAAGAGTATAATAATATATATATATATATATATATAAAGATTAAATAAGACTTATTCTACTAATATTGACTAATTAATTATATATGTAATGACTTAATTATGCTGAGTTGCATGTGAGTCATTATATTAACCAATCAATAAGCATTATTTTTTTTAAGATTAAACAAGACTTATACTAAAATGTTTATCGACTAATTAATATAATGACTTAATCATGCTGAGTTTTATGTGAGCCATTAACTATATGAATCCGCCAATAAGCATTATTTTTTTAATATTAAACAAGACTTATACTAAAAGTCTTACAGACTAATTAATGTAATGACTCACATAATTAAGTCATTATTAACTCATTGTAAATAAGCATAATTAAGTCATTATATTAATTAGTTGATTAGAATCTTAGTATAAGCTAGTTTTGTTTAATATTAAAAAGATCATATATAAAGCATATATTTTCCAACATAACATTTGGCGATCCAATTTAATCCTGACCTGTCACTTAAAAAAAAAAACATGGAGCACAAGAGTATAATAATATACTATAAAGAAATTTGAAATTAATTTTGAGTAGACCATACCACCAAGTAGCAAATGGTCCATGGCTTTCTAATAATTTTTATATTAATATGTCAAATGACAACTCCAATAAGAATGAGATAAAAATTGGGTGGGTTGCACTACCGAGTAACAAATGGTCCACGACTATCTAATAATTAATTTCTCTATTGAGTAACTAATCAATAGTTGGGATGATGTTGTATATTTCAACCTCACATTTTAAAATTTTGATTTAGAATGTGGTCCATTAATGCTTTAGGAAGGAAGAAATTCGCCCTATAAATTCAAGCATACACATATGCATTGCATGCTCACAAATTACCATCAACGTGTTGGGAGAGATGACAATAAACAAACACAGCGGAATAATTCTTCTCCCTATATGTAAACAAATATAGTATATCTCTACTTTTATATGCACTGAAAATAATAGAGAATAAATCAATCATACCAAGCCACAAGAACACAAGCAATTTTTACGTGAAAAACTTCCCCAGTGTGAGGAAGAAAAACCACAGGACCTAGTCCAATTAAAATCTCCACTATCAACCAAATAATGGTACACAAAGTCTTCTCTAATCGCAATTAGAGGTTACAAAACATCTCATCAAGATAGCAACAATCTTGGCAAAAAACAAAGAGAATTGGAGAGAAAAATACCAAAACCTGGTTACTGTTTACGGGCACGAATCACTGTTCCCGAGCTCAAAATCTGATCTTCACCATTCAGATTTTAACTCATTGAGTCGTGAACCTCTCCTCCAAATTTCAACTCGATCGGACCACGGACGAAGCGGGATCGGACGTTTGATGAAATCTGGGCAGAATAGAAAAACCTGCGTTTTTCTACCAAAACCTGGTTACTGTTTATGGGCACGAATCACTGTTCCCGAGCTCAAAATATGATCTTCACCGTTCAGATTATGCATCACTTAGTCACGAACCTCTCCTCCAAATTTCAGCTTGATCGGACCATGGACAAAGCGGGATCGGACGTTTGATCAAACTTGGGCAGAATGGAAAAACCTGTGTCTTTCTTCTCTTTGTTCTTACCCTTGCGGCTAACCTCTCTCTCTTTTTATACTAATTTCCTTAGGGTTTTCTTTTCCCTAAAGGCTGGGCTTTGGGCTTTTAATAAAACCCACTTGGGCTTTCCTCCATATAGAAGGAAATAAACCCAACAAATCTCCCCCTTTCCGATTATGTGGAGGGAATCGCCATCCCGGCGATCGAACAACAAACTTCAAGCTTCTCTCTTGATAATGTCTTTATCAACATATTAGAGCCATCATCATCAGTGTGAACCTTCTCAAGTTCAAGTAACTTATTGTTCAACGTATCTCTGATCCAATGGTATCGTACATCAATGTGCTTAGATCTTGCATGGAAACTGGAATTCTTAGCAAGATAAATAACACTCTGGCTATCACAAAACAACACATACCTCTGCTGCTTGAAACCAAGTTCTCTCAAGAACTTCTTTACCCATAGGAACTCTTTAGTCACTTCCGTTGCTGCAATAAACTCTGCCTCTGTCGTAGAAAGAGTAATACACTTCTGAAGTCTCGATTGCCAACCTACAGCCCCACCTGCAAAAGTGATCAAATAACTCGAAGTAAACCTACGAGTATCCATTTCCCCTGCCATATCTGCATATGTGTAGCCAACTAACAATGGTTGTCCGTTTCCCAAACCAAGTCTCAAACTGGAAGTGCCTCGAAGATATCTCATGATCCACTTCACTGCATTCCAATGCTCTCTTCCCGGATTTGACAAGAATCGGCTAACTACACCAACTGCACGGGCTATATCTGGTCTTATGCAAATCATTGCATACATCAAACTTCCTACTGCTGAGGCGTAAAGAACTCTTTCCATGTCTTCTTTTTCCTTATTTGTAAAAGGGCATTACTTTGTACTCAGTCTGAAGTGGGTAGCAAGAGGAGAGCTAACCACTTTAGAGTTGTCCATATTGAACCTCTGAAGCACTTTTTCAATGTACTCCTCCTGTGACAAATATAACTTCTTGGCACTCCTATCACGACTAATTCTTATGCCAAGAATTTTCTTTGCTGGCCCCAAATCCTTCATAGCAAATGACTTACTCAATTGCTTCTTCAACTGTTCAAT